AACCGCGTGACGTGGCAACAAATCACAAGCGGCTAAACTTTTACAAGTAATAGATTTCTAATATTAATAATTAAATAATCACTACGATCAAATAATTGTATTTAGCAATAGTAAGTTTTAGTAAAAATTTCAAATTTGACTACTTTAAACTTTATTTCAAAAATATTTGTGTAACTCCATGAATTTGACAAATGATCTTAAGGTAACATGCTCTTTTTTTTTTTTTTTTTAATAGAAAATAAAATTTGAAAAAAGAAAAAAAAAACTCATGGAAATAGATTTCTAATATTAATAATTAAATAATCACTAAGATCAAATAATTTTATTTAGCAATAGTAAGTTTTAGTAAAAATTTCAAATTTGACTACTTTAAACTTTATTTCAAAAATATTTGTGTAACTCCATGAATTTGACAAATGATCTTAAGGTAACATGCTCTTTTTTTTTTTTTTTTTAATAGAAAATAAAATTTGAAAAAAGAAAAAAAAAACTCATGGAAATATCAAAGAAGAAAAAAAAAATAATTTGATTGTCTTATTGAGTTGGAATGATATTTTACAGTGAATAATCCATTGTCAAGATATTTATGAATTTTTTGAAACGAATTAAATTCATTTAAAAGTATAAAGTCTTGGAACAATGAGGCGGGTGTTACAAATATATTATTATTGTTGGAGGCATTTGATTTTATCTATGAATTAAAAAAAGAATAATAAATCAATCATCTTATTTCATTTTATATAAATATAAAACCAAAATAATGAATGAATAATTGTTTAAATTATTTATTTATAAAAATCAGAATAAAGGGGGAAATTAATGTGATTATAAATTTATAGAAAATAAAAAATAACAATGAATTTATTATTTACTGTTTATTTATTAAAATCAAAATAAAAAGTAGAATGGTTATTTTACTATAAGAGTTGATTTATTATTTTTATTAGGCCAAACGATTTGCGCATACCCAAGGTTTACCGAAACGATAAGTTGGTACCCAAAAGGTTTGAAACGACATACAAGTACTTCCGTCATGTGCTGTTAGTGATTTTGTTTGTTAACAGTGAAAGGACTAAAATGCCCTTGAAGTTTGATATTTTAGTTTTTAAAAATTATAAAAAAACCCCTAGGTTTGCTAATTTAACTAAACACCCCCATATATAAAAGTTTGTTAAATGACAAAAACCCCCTACCACCTGCGCAGATCCCGGCCACCACCGTCGGAATCTGGCCGAAAATTGCGTTATGACATAGACCCCGTCGGATCTGTGTCGTAACGCGCCGATCTGGCCTTTTCGGCCAGATCCATGGCTGATCTGGCCGTCAAGGCAGCAGATGGAGTTTTGCGGCCTCGACGGCCAAATCTGGCCTTTTCCGGCCAGATCCTGTGGGTGATCTGGCGGAAAATGCCAGATCTACGGCTAGATCTGGCCGTCGTGGCTGCAAAACTCCATCTGGGCGTCGACGGCCAGATCTAGCCGTAGATCTGGCTTTTCCGACCAGATCAGCCACGGATCTGGCTGAAAAAGGCCAGATCGGCGCGTTACGACACAGATCCGACGGGGTCTATGTCGTAACGTAATTTTCGGCAAGATTCGGCGGTGGTGGCTGGGATCTGGCCGCAGGTGATGGGGGTTTTTTTCATTTACAAACTTATATATGGGGGTGTTTCGTTAAATTAGCAAACCTAGGGAGTTTTTTAGAAATTTTAAAAAACTAAAATATCAAACTTCAAGGGCATTTTAGTCTTTTCACTGTTAACAAACAGAATCACTAACAACACATGACGGAAGGTACCTGTTTGTTATTTCAAAACCTTTTGGGTACCAACTTATCGTTTCGGCAAACCTTGGGTATGCGCAAGTCGTTCAGCCTTTTATTATTATTATTATTATTTTTGCTTGTTCACATTGTGGAATGTTATTGATGTTGTTGTTAGGACAATCTATATGATTGGCGTCTCTCTCAATTGACATCTAAATGAAATTTTCATTACATTAAAAAAAAAAAAAAAAAAAATTAATTAAATTAAATTCCCAGAATTGGGTTAGACATCTGCTGACTGCACATACACTCTAAACAAATCTTAATGAAGCTCAATTTCTATCAAAATCTTGACCCAAATCAGATTACATGTTGTTTTCAAATTAATAGATAATGGCACTGTGTCTTCTGTTCTTCGTTAAATTGCAATACAATATGATAACTTGATACTCTGATTACAAATTGGTACAAAACCAGGATGTTAGTTAATCCTAATCAATAGCCACAGTGCTCAATGGTTTTCACCATTGTTCAAGTTTAATTAGTTTCTCACCCTTAAATAGAATAGAAATAATCTCCACCAGGATTGCCATCAACTTCAGGCTGAATTTTCAATCGATGTCAACCAATTTCCTAAATGCCTTGACATGTTCAAGCCTCTTGCTCTGAGCCTAGTTCGCACATTTGACGCTTTTAAGCTCTGATATAGATTCTTATGGTGCTTTAAGAACTCGCTTTATACATCCATTTGTCTTGTACATGTTATGCTCTTTCATGTAATTGATGACCTCCATCACTCTCTCAAAGTAACCACCTTTAAGAAAGTTCAGCAGCATGATCTCAAACAGATCTCTGTTCACCGCTAAATTGCCAGTCGCCATGTTCCGTTTAATGTCGCCCCATAAGATTGTAATATCGCGATACATTCCAAAGAAGAGTACCCGTATGCCAAATAAGCAAAGGTTGCACGGTTGGTTGGATATTCATTGCCTGCATTCTTCGGTATATCTTCAAAGCATCGTCTATCATTTTGCCTTTGCAGAAAAAGAAGATAGAGAGTTTAACTCATAGACTGTAGAAGGAACTGCTTTTCTCTTCTCATTTCTCGAATTAAAGACTGGGCTAGACGTGATCTACCTACTGATGGTTTTGTGCTTGAGATGCCATCTCATCAGAAAATATTACAGCCAAACCAACCTTCTTCATTTGTTTTAACAGGGCCTCGGCCTCCCTAGACATTTTTAATTTGTAATAAGCTCTTAGAAGCGACATGTATGTAGTAGAGCGCATGGGATAACCAGCTGATTCCATGTCATCCAAGATGTCGTGAGCAGTCTCCGGCAAACCTGATTGATAAAAAGCATCAATCACATCAGAACACAAAGCGAATCCCTCCAATGAATTATTTTCCTTCTGAATGCTTAATAAGAGCTTTGACAGCCACTAATCTTCCCAATCTCTTGTATCCATTAATAAGCTTGGCTAGAGCCCTGTTACCGAGCAGAAGTTTCCCATTTCTGAAGAGAATGAGCTCCTGTTTACCTTCTATTTTGAGGATGGAATCCTTCTCTAGTAGCTAGGCATAATCTGTATCTTCAATCCATTCCTCAGATTGGGAGAACCTATCGGAACAAGGCAAGGCTTTTGACTGCCTTTCATAAGTTTTTGATCAGGAAGAGAGTCTCGATATCTATTCATATCCAATACAAGCTCAGAAGCTGCATCAATATCATCAAACTTAAAATACAAGCTCAAAAGACTATCATAAAACTGCCTGTAATGCTGCAGAAATGGAACTGATACTCGAACAATGTAATCTTTAAATTTCTTCAGCTCATCCATCTGACTGTTCATTTCATGAATCTGAGCCATACAACAATTGTGTGAGCATCAGCAATGACCCAGTCTGTGACATAAGTTCCATATATGTTGGCCTTTAAGAGGTGATCCGAATCTCACACAAGCATCCCAGCACAGGTTAAAGATCATTGTATCAGGTTTGATCAGCTTTGCGCAATTGCTTCTCTGCCCCACTTAAAAGTAGGAAACAATCACACATCTGATCAAGAAATTTGATGCAACACACGTCCCAGTTTCAGTCTTCACCATATGCAGAAAAACACCACAATACATTCATGCTGGAAGATCTTTTTCTCCAACATCAGTCTAAGTATCATCGAAGCAGGGATAGGCATCTGAGCTCTTGCTAAGAGAGGACAGCTTCGCTAGAACGTCAGCTGAAGCAAATTCGGTTTCTCTTTCAAGATATAAGAACCAAAATACAGCTTTTTTTAGCCAATGAGACTCAGATGAGTAAGACAACTCCGTGACAAACTTGTTCACAATTGAACAGTCAGGAAAACCATGCAATCTCTTCAAATCATAAAAGTTTCCATGCTTCATCCACTTTATGTTTCTTCAGTGTTAATTCAAGTTTTCTCAGTAAAACTTCACGAGACGTACCTTCCCAACATATTTTTCAGGCACAATACTACCAGCACAAAAGCATCTGAGATTTGAAACCAAAAATATTTACACAATCCATCCAATACTAGAGACCTTCCAAAACCATTTTAACAAGCACCGGTGTCTGAATAGTTGATGTCGAAATGAATCCGAAAGAACTACTGTTAACAAGGCAGGCTTGCACCAATTTCTTTCTTGCCAAGTTAATGCCATTGAGACAACACCATCATTACATCATAACACGAGCCCATCAAGCCCACCACCACGAATCTAAAATTGACGGAAATTCATTTTTTTTATTCATTTTTGGCTTTTTCAAGACAAAATCAAGCACCCAGAAGCTTATTCTTCTATATCTTTATCAAACAAACATACCCAGAACTAAAATTCTGAGTCCAAACTGCAAGAATCTGTTAAAAAGAAAACATAATCTGAGTACGGCCAAGGATATTGCTAATATGAACAATTAACATGAAATATTCTCAAAACCATAGAAATAATGAATAAATGTCATAAATCACATAAATTTTACCTTTTTTAACACATACAGTGATTATTATGAAAATAATAATAACACTAAGAAAAAAAATTGTTTCGACACAGTAGGAAAAAAAAAAAATAAAACAACATAGAAGCTTTATAATTGAAAAGAACTAGCAAAATTACAGAAAAAATCAGAATCTCTAAAATATATATGTTATTTATCTACTTATTATAATCGATAAATAAATTCGAAACTGGAAATTAAAAAATATATATAAAAATAAAACCTGTTGACCCTTAAAAAACTGCCAGGAAAAATCGCCGGCGTCGAGGTTGAGTTTGTGGAGGATTTTTTCAGCGTTGACGGCCGCTCGGCGTAAAGCGATGGCCACTATGCGTAGGTACGTGATTGAGCAGTGAACAGATTCCTTGGTTTCTCAAGCGGCGGCTGGCCGCCGTACTCGGCGGAGGTCTATTTTTGAGAGAAGAGAAAAAGCTGGGCGCGATTTTAAGCGGTTGTTTTTCCTTTTCAGTTCAGTTCAGCTTCACTGTATAATAGTTTTAAAATTTTATTTTAATAATTTTATACCTATAAAAAAATCGAAAATTTTAACCATACGTTAACTTCTAAATATTATTTTTGAAGTGGGTTATTTGCATCAAAAGACAAAAGTGGCTTATTTTTCTTTCATCCTTAGGATTTGAAACATAATAATTACCTCCAATACTATGGGAAACTTATATTTAGTCCAATAAGTTAAGATTTTTAATAAAAAGTCTATTTTTCCCTGGTGGTCTTATTTATACATACTAGAAATGATGAAAAAATAATAATATATATATAAATGGTCCATATTATATTTGGATATCAATTATTACTCTTACAAAAAATTAAATTTTTTTAGATATACAATAATTTTTACTTTTTTTAATATTTTATTCATTTTAATTACATGGTATAAGACAACATCGGTATTTTAGACTTTTTTTATTAAAATAGTCTTTTCAGGCTAGACTCAACTCTTTGTGTCCCATAATATTGTAGGTAAGTGAATATAATTCAAACCTCAAGGACAAAAACACAAATAACTCTCAAAAGGTAATTTAAATATTAAGTAATTATTTGACACATTTGACAAATTATTTCACTTATTTCATCATCTAAAATCTCAGTTTTATGCACAAAATATTATTTAATTATTATTATTACTCTTGGAGCTCCTAAGATTGGTTGATATTATTGTAGGTTAGAGCCACTTTTGATTTCACACAATTAATTAATTATTCGAAACTCTCTTGAATAGTGCTATATAAGCAACCAAAACCCTCGTCTTCTAACCAATGTAAGACTTTGGCACCAACAAAACCTTTACCAAACCAAATCATAAAAGCATTACCAATGAAGTTTATTTTTGAACCGGTAACAAAAAATATCAACAACACTAGTATGTACCAAACCCTTTATTTAAGGGAAACACTAGTATGACACCCTCACTACTCAAAGGCGCATTTTCAAAACAAAACCGTACGGACAATACCTTTGAAAACCTACCTTGCATGTGTCTAGATCTCCAATATACATCAAAATTTGGGTACATTATGTAATATGAATATCGTATAGGTCTAAATATAGGTAAACAAAATAATAACGTTAGAATAATGCTATGGACACCAATAATTTACATCGAATTTTTGTACCGACATACATGACATCCACTCAGACGCAGCTACGTTGGAGACAACAAGTCTTCCATGAATGAATGACCGTCCAACAATTAAGGTCCATATTGATAGACAACCGTTCATCACGGATGGACGAGTGTCCACAAAAATAACAATGGATTCTCATAATTCATCACACGATTCTCATAATTTTTCCCACTTACAAAGTTTAGAAACCCACAAAATTATAATTCATTACACGATTCTCATAATTCAATGACTTCAAAATTTATGCAATTCGATAGCAAACCGTACGTTGGATTATCCGAACCTTTTCTCTTATAACTTAAAAATCTTCTAGACTTGCTCTGTAAATCAAATTCCTAACTAAAACCTCGCTAAACCCTACAATCTTCAAGAAAAATTAAAATAGCCTTTATTCATGTGCAAATTACAATGTTTACCCAAAATAAATCATATACTTAACATTATTTTATCACAAAATTAGAAAAATAAACTAAAAACAACAAAAATTGAATTCCTCAATAGTGTTATTACATTTGAGTAACTTCAAATTTGTACAAAATCAAAAGCATTTCACAAATTACATAAACCCTAATTTGACCCTCTTCTCCCACTTGTACCTCTCATTCCAAAAAACTTCAAAAACGCCGCCATAAGGTACAAGATGTTGTTGTTAGGACAACTATATGATTGGCGTCCTCTCTCAATTGACATCTAAATGAAATTTTCATTACATTAAAAAAAAAAAAAAAAAAAAATTAAATTAAATTAAATTCCCAGAAATTGGGTTAGACATCTGCTGACTGCACATTACACTCTAAACAAATCTTAATGAAGCTCAATTTCTTCAAAATCTTGACCAAACAGATTACATGTTGTTTTCAAATAAATAGATAAATGGCCACTGTGTCTTCTGTTCTTCGTTAATTGCAATACATATGAAACTTGATACTCTGATTACAATTGGTACAAAACCAGGATGTTAGTTAATTCCTAATCAATAGCCACAGTGCCAATGGTTTTCACCATTGTTCAAGTTTAATTAGTTTCTCACCCTTAAATAGAATAGAAATAATCTCCACGGATTGCCATCACATCAGGCTGAATTTCAATCGATGTCAACCAATTTTCCTATGCCTTGACATGTTCAAGCCTCTTGCTCTGAGCCTCAGTTCGCACATTTGCCGCTTTTAAGCTCTGATATAGATTCTTATGGTGCTTTAAGAACTCGCTTATACATCATTTGTCTATGTACATGTTATGCTCTTTCATGTATTGATGACCTCCATCACTCTCTCAAGTAACCACCTTTAAGAAAGTTCAGCAGCATGATCTCAAACAGATCTCTGTTCACGCTAAATTGCCAGTCGCCATGTTCCGTTTAATTTCGCCCCATAAGATTGTAATATCGCGATACATTTCCAAAGAAGAGTACCCTTATGCCAAAATACAAAGGTTGCACTGTTGGTTGGATATTTCATTGCCTGCATTCTTCGGTATATCTTCAAAGCATCGTCTATCATTTTGCCTTTGCAAAAAGAAGATAGAAGAGTTTAACTCATAGACTGTGAAGGAACTGCATTTTCCTTCTCTTCATTTCTCGAATTAAGACTGGCTAGACGTGATCTACCTACTGATGGTTTTGTGCTTGAGATGCCCATCTCATCAGATAATTACAGCCAAACCAACCTTCTTCATTTGTTTTTAACAGTGCCTCGGCCTCCCTAACATTTTTAATTGTATAAAGCTCTTAGAAGCGACATGTATGTAGTAGAGCGCATGGGATAACCACTGATTCCTGTCATCCAAGATGTCGTGAGCAGTCTCCGGCAAACCTGATTGAATAAAAGCATCAATCACATCAGAACACAAAGCGAATCCCTCCAATGAATTATTTTCCTTCTGAATGCTTAATAGAGCTTGACAGCCCACTAATCTCCCATATCTCTGTATCCATTAATAAGCTTGGCTAAGCCCTGTTACCGAGCAGAAGTGTTCCCATTTCTGAAGAGAATGAGCTCTGTTTACCTTCTATTTGAGGATGAATCCTTCTCTAGTAGCTCAGGCATAATCTGATCTCATCCATCCATTCCTCAGATTGGGAGAACCTATCGGAACAAGGCAGGCTTTTGACTGCCTTTCATAATTTTTGATCAGGAAAGAGTCTCGATATCTATTCATATCCAATACAGCTCGAAGCTGCATCAATATCATCAAACTTAAAATACAAGCTCAAAAGACTATCATAAAACTGCCGGTAATGGCTGCAGAATGGAACTGATACTCGAACAATGTAATCTTTAAATTTCTTCAGCTCATCCATCTCCTGTTCATTTCATGAATCTGCGCCCAAACAACAATTGTGTGAGCATCAGCAATGACCCCAGTCTGTGACATAAGTTCCATTATATGTTCGCCTTTAAGAGTGATCCAATCTCACACAAGCATCCAGCACAGGTAAAGATCATTGTATCAGGTTTGATCAGCTTTGCGCAATTGCTTTCCTCTGCACTTAAAAGTAGGAACATCACACATCTGAATCAAGAAATTTGATGCAAACACACGTCCCAGTTGTTCTTCCCCATCAGAAAAACAACCACAATACATTCATTGCTGGAAGGATTCTTTTTTCCAACATCAGTCTAAGTATCATCGAAGCAGGGATAGGCATCTGAGCTCTTGCTAAAGAGAGGGACAGCTTCGCTAGAACGTCAAGCTGAAGCAAATTCGGTTTCTCTTTCAAGATTATAAGAACCAAAATACATTTTTTTAGCCAATGAGACTCAGAGATAAGACAACTCGTGACAACCTTGTTCACAATTGAACAGTCAGGAAAACCATGAATCTCTTCAAATCATTAAAGTTTCCCATGCTTCATCCACTTTATGTTTCTTCAGTGTTATTCAAGTTTTCTCAGTAAACCTTCACGAGACGTACCTTCCCAACATAATTTTTTCAGGCACATACTACCAGCACAAAAGCATCTGAGATTTGAAAACCAAAAATATTTACACAATCCTATCCAAACTAGAGACCTTCCAAAACCATTATTAACAAGCACCGGTGTCTGAATGTTGATGTCGAAATGAATCCTAAGAACCTACTGTTAACAAGGCAGGCTTGCACCAATTTCTTTCTGGCCAAGAGTTAATGCCAGGACACACACCATCATTACATCATAACACGACCCCCTCAAGCCCACCACACGAATCTAAAATGGACGGAAATTCATTTTTTTTTATTCATTTTTGGCTTTTTCAAGACAAAACAGCACCCAGAAGCTTATTCTTCTATATCTTATCAAACAAACATACCCAGAACTAAAATTCGAAGTCCCAACTGCAAATAATCTGTTAAAAGAAAACATAATCTGAGTACGGCCAAGGATATTGCTAATATGAACAATTAACATGAAATATTCTCAAAACCATAGAAATAATGAATAAAATGTCAAATTAAATCACATAAATTTTACCTTTTTTACACATCAACAGTGATTATATGAAAATATAATAACAATAAAGAAAAATTTGTTTCGACACAGTAGGAAAAAAAAAAAATAAAACAACATAGAACTTTAAAATGAAAGAACTACAAAATTACGAAATAAATCAGAACTCTAAATATATATGTTATTTATCTACTATTATACGATAAATAAATTCGAAACTGGAATTAAAAAATATATATAAAAAATAAACATGTTGAACCCTTAAAAAACTGCCAGAAATCGCCGCGTCGAGGTTGAGTTTTGTGGAGATTTTTTCCGCGTTGACGGCCGCTCGGCGTAAAGCGATGGCCACTATGCGTAGGTACGTGATTGAGCAGTGAACAATTCCTTGGTTT